GCTGAGAAAAAGTGGCAACAGATATAAAAAAAATAAAACACATCATAGTAAAACCAATACCTTCTCAGCTTCGCATCGAAGCTAAAATATCTGATCGTTAAAAACTGTCAAAATATTTTTCTTTATATTTAGGCTAAAGGAGAAAATGCGACGTTGGGCGTCCTAAAGCAATACTTCACGGTAGTTTCATGGCGTCCAACACNAAAGGAGAAAATGCGACGTTGGGCGTCCTAAAGCAATACTTCACGGTAGTTTCATGGCGTCCAACACTATGTCGACCATAGTGAAAAAAAAAAGAAGGCTATAAAATGAAAAGTGCTGTAGGGAAATGACTATTTATAAAATGAATAGCACCCACTTTTCTTCTCCAGTAAATAATTTAAAATGTTAATAACTTCTGAAATGAAAAAAAGTGGTGACAGACACAAAAAAATAATAAAAATAAACACATCATGGTAAAATTAATACCTTCTCAGCTTCGAATCGAAGCTAAAATGTAAAAAATAATATAAAGAATTTTTTCACAAAAATAGCATATTTTTACAGACGGTAGTCATTTTCATCATGAAGATAAGTCTAGAGGTCAAATTTTTTTTTTCAAATTAAAGTATGTTACATTGGCTTTCATTTAAAGACATTTTCATAAAAGACAATAGTGAAAATGCAAAATAATGTGGAATATAATCGAGCTCTTGGACCAGTGTATGCGGTATTAGAGTGGTCCTTATCTACGTAGGTTTTTTTTTTTTTATTAAATTCAATCAGGATGCCCCCTAGAATTGTTCTATAAGTTAAAAAAATTCATTTTGTGAAGTTTCGTGATTGTTCAATGATTTTTTCCCGTGCCGCAGAAGGGCAAAAAAGTTTGAATGATCAAAGAGATTTGAAACTTCAAAAATCTCAATTTATGTCCAGTAAGTATTTTATTATTAATATTTCATTAGTTCATAAATTAAATAACAACAAGTTTTTTTTTTAGACGAGATTTTAGAGAGTAGTACAAGTAGTATAAGTAGTAAAGAAGAAGCCAACATGTCTTGTGATGTTTCCGAGTTTAATTTCAATGATGAAAATGAACCTGGACCATCCTGTTCAAAAAGAAAAAGAGGCAAACGACAGTTTATTACATCAATATTTGTTGCTGCTTTTGACAAATGTAAAGTAAGTGATAGAAATGCTGTACACTTGTTAATAGCAACTGTAGAGGCTCTAAATTTAGAGTTGGTTATTAACCGAGCTTCTATTAACCGTTGTCATGAACTTCTAAGGAACGAACACGCACAAAAAAGTTTTGAGAAGTTTCATGAAAAAAAAAACCAGCACAGGGGGGTTGCGGCACAGTGGTGACGTGGCATAGTTGAATCAAGTATAATGATATCTGATAGTGATTAAAATCACTATCAAAAATAAACGCTTCGATGCAAATCTTTAGATAGTGTTAAATTTTAAAAAAATTGGTGTTTTATTCCAAAAGCTACATGATCTGCTGGTTCTTTATTAATATACTGATTAAGAAAAAGTATGTCGAATGAAAAAGGGATTANTTTATTAATATCCTGATTAAGAAAAAGTATGTCGAATGAAAAAGGGATTATTAAAAAATATTATTTCTCATAAAAAAATTGTGTGAATCCATACACTTTTCAAGAAGTTATAGCATTATAAAGTTAAAAATGTAAAAAATAAAATCGAGAATTTTCACATGAAAATAGCATTCGGTAGCCATTTTCACCACGAAGACAAGTCCAGAGTTCAAATTTTTTTTTTTCAAATTAAAGTATATTACATTAGCATTAATTTAAGATATATATAAAAGTGTCAGACCTTCCGGAACATTTACAAAATTTAAGTTGAAAAAGTTAATTTTTTGTGAAAAAGTTGTCTTTTTAAATATCCCCTGTGGGCAGATAAAGGGTCAAATTTACAAAAAAAATATATCAAATGATAGGTAAAGACATCAAACATCTATATAAAAAAAAATTATATTGATATGTTCATTTTTGAAAAAGTTACGGAAACATTTTAGTAAAAAAAATTGAAAAAATTTCGAAAATTAGCGATTTTTAGATTTGTAATTTGTTTGGAGGTTTCCCCCATTTACGGGGAACGGGGGAAATTTTTTCAATTTTGAAGGGTAATGTCTTCGACTAGATACAATTTGTGATCTTTTGACGTATCGTTGAAAGAAATCCGTTCGGTGAGAGCTGAGAAAAAGTGGTAACAGACA